CTCCTGCGCCCTGTGAGGCCGTCCCTTCTCTTGTCTGGATCCCCTCCAAGCTTGCTTTCCCACAACTCAGCCTTCTCTCTCCCCCGCAGTTTCCATTTCTCCCTCCCCCGATCACGCCTGTCAGCCTCCAGCCGCACTCTGGTAGCTCTCAATATTTTTTAAACATCCTCCCTCCTCCCCATCATCCTCCAGCCAGCACCTCACTTCTCAGCTCTGTATAGAGCAAAACTTTCTGAAGCCTTCTGTGGCCTTGCACTCCTCAGGTTTCCCGTCCATCCGTTTGCTCCAGGGACTCGGGGTCTCACTTCTTGTCTGGGTTACCTGAGTCCAAGCCTGCACCTCTCTGTGTTCAGGAAGTAACAACTCTTGATCAAGCTTCCTTCTCAAACCCCCTAACTCAGTTGGGGTTCCTTCCCAGTCCCAGTCTCCTTACATGACAAGGACCTTGGGCCTCATCACTGGACCAATCAACGTCATGATACATGGAGAAAAGATTGAAGTTGTCAAGGATTTCTTTTTATTCTGCTCCACAATCAACACCCATGGAAGCAGCAGTCAAGAGATCAGATGACATATCACACAGGGCAAATCTGCTGCAAACGACTTCTTTAAAGTGTTAAAGAACAAAAATGTTACTTTGAAGACCAAGGTGTGCCTGACCCAAGCCATGGTGTTTTCAACAGCCCTATATGCATGTAAGGAGCTCTGGTGGCATAGTGAATAACACAGTTGGCTGCTAACCAGAAGATTAGTGGTTCAAAGCCATCAGCTGCTCTGTGGGAGGAAGATGGAATGATCTACCTCTGTGAAGATTTTTATGCATGTGAAAGCTGGACAATGAAGAAGGAAGACATGCCTCCAGGTGATTCTGAGGTCTGCTAAAGCCACAGGGTTTGATGCTCCATAAATCTCATCTGAATTAAAGAATCATGTACATGAAGAGAGGGGCCCTGGTGGCTCAGTGGTCATGTGCTCAGCTGCTAACCCACCAGCTACTCCATGGGAGGAAGATGAGGCAGTCTGCTTCCATAAAGATTTACAGCTTTGGAAACCCTGTGAGGCATTCTGCTCCGTCCTATAGGCTCACTATGAGTCAGAATTAATTCAGCAGCAATGGGTTTGTTTTTGGGTGTAATAAAAGTTCAAGACAAATTATTTTCTTTTATGATTAGAGATCTTTTTGGGGAGGCATCAAAACTAGGGCTAATTAGTGTAAAAAATAAATATTGTGTGTATTGGTCTATGCATACATGATCTCTGAAAGGAACCACAATTAACCACTTATCTCTAAGAAGGGGACCCAGCTGGGAGTCAAAGGTAGGAGAAAGGCTTACTTTGAAATGTGTGTCTTTTTGCATCATGTGGGTTTTGTAACATGTATCCCATGTATTCAAAAAGTGGACAAAATGCAGTTAAGCAAAACCTGGTAGAGATTCCCTTTCCTAGTCTTCTCTTCCTGCTGCAGTGTGGTTCTGACTCTCTAGACCTTGGAAGAGCAGAGCTGAGCTGTCACCAGAGAAACTCTGCCTCCTGCCGGCCATCTCCCACATGGCCAGATGGTCTGTAGTTTCCACTTCTTCACCCTTCTCTCTTGGCCATCTTTCTCCCTTAGTGTGGGCTCCAGTCACAATGGCTTCTCTCAGTTTCTAGGAAGCACCAAACTCCAACTTGGCCTCAGTATCTTTGCACATGCTGTTCCTTCTACCTGAAACTCTCTCTTGCCACCTCCCTGCAACTCAGCACGATTCACTTCTATTCACCCTTCCTATCTTATTTCAGTGCTTATTTCACAAAGCCTCCCGTCCCCAACTAGGCTGAGCCCTATCACACACTCTCATAGCACCCAGAACAGTTCTGTTAGATACTTAGGTGCAGTTGTGGTTTTGTGTGATTATTTAATTTGCATTGGCCTCTCCCACCAAAGGAGCTCTGGTAGCATAGTGCCTAAGGCACTTGACTGCTAACCAGAAGGCTGGTGGTTCAAACCCACCAGCCACTCCTCAGAAGGAAGGCTGGGCAATCTACTTCCGTAGGATACTGCCTTGGAAACCCAAGGAGGGGTTGCTGTGAGTCGGGTCCGACTCAACGGCACGTAACAACAACAGCTTCCACCAAAGGGAATGGTCCCTCTGATGGGGCTCATACCTGCCTTGTTCTTAGTTGTACCCCTGTCTGGTCTTGTTGTCTGTCTGCCTCTGATCTCAGGACCATTCCCTCCTCAGATCCTCCTCACTATTAGATACTTTCCAGTTCTTATGCCATGAGTCCTGTAGGTGATGTGAATCTTTCTAATCTTCTCTCTCTGTGAGCCTGTTTCCTCATTTGTAAATTTTGGGAAAAGTAATACCTCTTAGGATTGTCGGCAGACAAGGTAAAGACCCCATAGTTGGTGCTGGGTACATAGTAAATGCCTACTTCACAGTGGCTGGAGTCTCACTACATACTCATTTCCCTCGTTTTTCTCAGTTTTGTGGTAGGTGACTGTTCCCAGAGCATTTTCAGAAGACAAGTGATCAGGAGTTAGAGAAAACTCTTTAAATAACATTAGTAACGGATTCCATTTATGAGGCCAGAACTAAAATTGTTTTGTATCAACCATCTCATTTAACTCCCACAATAGTCCTGTGAGGTAGCAACTCTCATTATTACCCTCTGCCCCCTTACAAACCAGGACATTGAGGCTTAGAAATAACGTGCCCAAGGTCATACAGTTATTAAATGGAAAAGTCAGATTTATTATTTATTCATTTTTTCAGCAATTATTTATTGAGTGTGTACTGTGTGCAGGCCTTGTCCTGGGCAGTTGACTCAGTGCTCTTATAAAGACCGAGTAAGAATAAAGGGATTTGATTAGTCAGGGAGATCTGGGAAGGCTTTTCAGAGGAAGGAGCAAACACAGCAAGAGTCTGAAGGAGGGAGGAATTGTTTCCAGGGTCTGAGCTGAACCCTTCTGCCAATCCGAGAGTCAATTTAGGGCTGCAGGAAGTTTTTGAAGGGCAACTTGGGCCCTGATTGGATATCCAAGGATGAGCACTCACTACCTTCAGTGGGGTGTGATAGGAAAGGAAGTTCTGGCCTCAGGAAGCCTACATGGTCCTCACACACTAGACCCGAGGGAATGGTGTAGAGGACGCAGCTGGCTCTACTCCTACCCCCCTAGCTGACGGCTCACCTCTAGAGATTGAGGAGACTTCTTGCCACAGTAACCATCTCTGGAAGTATTGTTCCTTGTCCTTGGGGAGCCTCCAGGCAGCTGGGGCTGAGGAATGGTAGCCGGAAGGAGTTACAAAAAGGTAATTTTGTACAGTGTGCAGAGAGCTCAACAGAGCCATGTGGGAACAGAGGGGATCTAGTCATCTCCTGGTAGGATGTATTAAGGAAGATGCTCCTGAGGAGATATTTTGATTGAGTGCAAGGAGGGAAGCTAGGGTATTCCAGTTTGAAGAAGGCAAGGGTTCAGGCTTTGGTGTCTGACCAACTGTCGGATGATTTCATCAGTGTATGTATGATAAGGGACACTATTAGAGGTCCCTTATAGAGTGGGTGTGAGGATTGTTGTTATTTGCCGTTGAGTCGCCCCCCGACTCATAGCGACCCCTCCTTGGGTTTCCGAGGCAGTATCACTACGGAAGTAGGATTGCCCAACCTTCCTTCCGAGGAGTGGCTGGTGGGTTTGAACCGCCAGCCTTCTGGTTAGCAGTCAAGTGCTTTAGCCACTATGCTCCCAGAGCTCCCAGGGGGTGTGAGGATTAGCTGATATTAATGTAAATCTCATAGAACAGTGGCCGCACAGATTTAAGAGGCAGTGCAGGTTAATCAACGCCGGCAACGGCCGGAAGTTCAGGGCAGTGTTGCAAAATATCCAGCGTGGCAGGGGCTGTAGTGAGAATTGTGAGCAGAGGTCAAACCAGTCAGGGATACGAATGCCGAGATGAGGATTGACGCGAGATAGGGGGAGGGCACAGTGGTAGCCAGTGAGAAAGCTGCGCCATAACCTGGCAGACGGGGGCAAAGTACCAGTGTTCTTTGTCCTCAAGCCGGTCAGGTAGGGTTTAGACCTAAGGTGGCAGCGACAGTCCTTCCGTGAGGTCGCAGGAGAACGTCCGCTTAGGGCCCGGAGGCTGGTGGGCGCGCGCCACCTGGTGGCTGCGGGAGGTGAGCTCAGCCGGGAGCCGCTGAAACGTAAAATCCGAACTCCGGAAAACAGCAGCGCGGGACAGGAGTTTGGGAATCTTCCAATTAGGCTCAGTCTCTACTTCACCTCCATTCTACAGATAAGAAAACTGAGATGAAGGGAAGGTGAGCGAGGCCGGGATAACGAGCCTCTCTTAACTTCAACATAAGAGTATTTTTTTTTTAATGGCTTAAATGGCCCGGGTCTTAGTTTGCCCATCTGTTCTATGGGAAGGAGGTTACATGAAAGAGGAGGAAGAGACACTTTAGTATTTCCCGCCCATCCGGAGGTAAAAGGCTTTAAAGACTTCCCTGGAAAGCACAGTTTTATAGATTCTATTTGCATACGAACACAGTCCCCTAGAGTTAAACCCTCGTCCTTTAATCTCCGGTCCAATTTGTCGCGCAGCAGCGGAAGGCCCTTGAGAATACCCTCAAACCCTGCCCCCTCGGAGCCCCGCCTACAGGGCTGGGCTTCATTGCACGTGCGTTTTCGCAATCCGTCTCTTTGGAAAGACTCATAGTCCGGGCGGGGGTATAAAAGAAATCCTAGGGAGGCTTTATCTTGGGTAAATCACAATAAAGAGAAGGCCATGAAATAATCCTTTATTAAACTTTTATGATAAGTATTATCAGGGCTCGTGAAGTCGAAAGGCCTTTCGACCTTTTCTTCTCAGGGCTGCTTATTCTCTCTTCCACCCCTTTAGTTGCTGGCGTCCCGCGTGGCCGGCCTCCCAGGACGGACTCTAATTCCCAGCGTGCTCCGCAGGGCCGTGCGTGGCAGCAGCGCATGACGTCAGGGGAAGGAGCTGGCCAGTGCTGAGGGGGCGCGGCGCGGAGGGGCGCGGAGCCCGGCGGCTCGGGGCCCAGAGAGCGCCGCGGCCGGGTGCCGGCCGGCCCCTGACAGCCCTCCCTCTAGCAGGCCACGACGACGACGAGAGTGCCGGTCATGGCGGAGCAGCGAACCCAGCGCGGACCCTGAGCAACACCGCATGGAGCGGGACGAACGGCCGCCAAGCGGAGGGGGAGGCGGCGGGGGCTCGGCGGGGTTCCTGGAGCCGCCTGCCGCGCTCCCTCCGCCGCCGCGCAACGGTGGGTGAGAGGCCCGTAGAGCCAATAACCGGCTCCCCTGTCCCCGATCCCAGGGATTCTCCGCCTTCAGACGATTCTTAGTCTGGGACCCCGCAGCTTCTGCGAACTCCCGTCCGGGGTCGCACCGGCCCAGGGTCCCCTCAGCGTGAACCTTCACCTCGGTCCCCTTCAGCGCGGACCCTTCCTCTTCGCCTCGGTCTTACTCAGTGTGCACTCTCTCTCTACCCAGTCCCCTCAACACCGAGGTACCCCCCGTGGTCTCCTCCACGCCGACCCTCCCCCTCCGGTTCCCTCAGTTTAGACCTCCCCTCCCCCCCGTCCGCTCGGCGCGGGTCCTCCCCCCTCCCCCCGGGTTCTCTCAGCGAGTACCCCTCTCCCGCTCTCCCGGCCTTCTCCCGCCGAGCCCTCCCCTCCCCCCCGTCCCCTCAGCGCGGTTCTTCCTCCTCTCGTCCCGTCCCTCTTGTCCCCTCCGCGCTAGTCTTTCCTCTTCTCCCGGGGTTCCCTCTGCTAGGGCCTTTCTCCCAAAAAGTCCTCTCAACGCCAAAGCCTCCCCTCCCCCCAAGTCCCCTCAGCGTCCATCGGGTCCCTCCTCAGCGGACGCTCCCTTCTCTTCCTGCCGACCGACGCCACACCCTCGCATCCCTTCCTTTTCTCTGTCCCTCACCTTTCTGAGCATTTTTCGTGTCTTCCTGGGCTGCTCCTTAGCACTGCGAGCCGTTCAGCTCCGCGCGGATCCCCGTTGGCTGGGTTCCGCTCCTCTCTTTTTCGGACCGCTCCGTTCTGCTGCCGACCCGCTTTCCCGTGGGCCCTGCTCCCCATCCCCCCACCTTTCCGTGGCCGCCCACCCTCCCCTGCGTACCTCCGCTCGGCTCGGCCCCCGCCCTGGCTCGGAGCCCCTTCTGCCTGCCCGGGGCTCCGGCACACCTGCCTCCTGTGGCCCCTTGTTACCGGCTCGACTTCAGTTGTCCTCTTCGCGGATCCTGGACCCCAACCAAGCTTTGAGAATTCCTCACCTGGCCCAGCCCTCCGTCCCGCTCTCCCCCCTGCCCCCACGTCCGGACTGAGACCTCAGGTTCCTCGGGGTTGTTTCGTGGCGTACTCTCCCTCCTCCCTCCCGTTCCCTCCCCCGGCCGGGTGTTTTATTTGTATCTGTTTGATATTTCCCCCATCGTTGTTTGCAGCGGAATGTTTTTATTGGTAACGTGTAAGGAGCTTTTGTGAGGTCGTAAAAGGTGAACTTTTGAACTTGGAAAGCGCCCTGGAGCAATTAGCGCCGGCGATAGCCCCGGGAGGCCTGCATTACAAAGGGTGCTCGTCCTGGCTGGCAAACGCTTCGGCGGCAAACTCGATTTATTTATTTATTTGCCCTGCCTTCCACCTTTCACGTCTCCTCATTTCCGAATAAAGGGCAGGCTTCCGAAGATCCGTGCCTCCTCCCCTCCGTGCGCCATAAACTCGCAATTCTGTGAAAGATATAGGACCGGAGAGTGTCTAACAAGTAACAGATTTCAAATTGAACACAAACACTCGGGACAGTTAGGAGGCACTAAAAATTAATTACTTCAGCAAGAAGTTTCTCAGGATAGTGACCTGGCAGGTGTGAGGAAAATAACCTGAAAATAGGTCATTTTAGGAGCTCAGTTGTTGAATGAATGAATTGCTACAAAAGGGGAGAAATCTTGGGATGGATCTGTCTGTGCCTTCATGTGTATTAACTCATCAGACATTTATTGCTGATTCTGTGGAGCTGATATTTTTCCCAGTTAAGGGAAAAGTGTATTTAGGTGAGAGCCGGGTCACTTCATTTGATGTTGCTGACCACATAGTGATGTGTTTTCTAAGCTCTTATCCTTTTTAAAGATGTGTATGATATGTGGTATCTAGGTGGTTGGCAGTCCGTAGGGTGTCTTTGGAGACTAATTTCTGAATGTGAACATGTTTGAAATCAATAAAATCCCCAGCCACAAAGGAGGAGGCTGGAATTCACTTAGGGTAGAAAGAAGACAGTATCAGAGGAACAAAGGATTTCTTTAATGCTTTTGACTTTTTAAGCTAGTTTGTGTGACAGTTTGGTTTGTTGTTAATGTGTGAATGGAGCAAATCTTGAGCTAAAATTTACCATGCTGATATTTTACCCAAGTCCCAAATTATAGTCCATATTAGCATGTATATTTTCATAATGCTTTCCCATGTGAATACTTCCTGTACCCACCTGTGCGTAACACCAATATGATGATGAAATTTATGATAGACATTATTTTCAGTTCTACTTGACAATAATATGGTAAAGGAAGCTTAGAGATTACATTTGCTATTAATTATTCATTAGTACATTTAAAAGAACTCAATGGTGATTTTAACTCTTAATCGGATTTCCCATTCATAGTCTCATTTCCTGAATTGGTCAGAATCATTTAAAAGAATGTTAGTGAGCAGCCCATTTAGGCTAAGGTGGCTTTACTATTTTATTTTCCATCAGTCTAATTTAGTGCTTCAAATACTTCCTTTTTTTGGGGAAAATGCAATGGGAACTTTTGGCAGTTTGTATAGAAGAAAATACATGAAACACTAGATAGACTTGTTTTTATTTTACTTTTCAGAAACGTGTACTGTTTTACAATTTGTGTTCATTAACTCTTGCAAACTTAACCTCCTTACAGAAGAATTACAGAAAATGTTAGTTTACCCAAAGAATAGTGGGAACATTTTTTCCTCCTACTTCTTAATTAATATTTTTCTTCAAAAATAAATGGAAGTGCTCAAAGTCTAAGCTTTGAGGGAGAGTTACTTTGCATCAGTCTTTATCCTCATGACTGATTTCCATTTTGTATAAAATATTTGTAATAGTCAACTATCTAGATAGATGATTTTTTTGGTTTATATCATGAAAAAATAATCTGGAGGTGGAATTTTAGAAATGTCTTCCTGCCGGAACCGCCATTGATGCTGAATTTGTTGTGTGCTGTCGAGTCAGTTCCGAGATGCTGAATTTACAGTCCTCTAAATGGTTTTTATTGTATCGGAACAGAGTTGCCAGTATTTTGATGTACCATTACCCTTCTAGGAATTCCCTTTGCTGACTCTGCTGAATATTTTAAGTTGTTACTTGTGGGTTTTCATAACAAACATAAAATGAACTCATTTAGTCATAATAGAGGACTGTTCCCCTTTGGGTTTTCAGAAGAAGATGAATGATTTAAGGAAGCATTTTTTATGGTGAATGTTACATTTGTTCATTTTAAGAGAATGAGGGAGTAGACTTAAATATTTAAAGCAGAGGAAGGTTATAAGCTATTTTAAGTAATTAAAAGCATATTTTATGTAGTAATTGTACTTTGGAGGAAATGGGGAAAGTTCGCTCAATAACATGATGTCTTCCCGCCCCCCGCTGTGACTGTACTGTTCAAATGTTTATATCTAAAAATAAATTAAAATTTTATTTCATGACAGTTTATCACTTTAGTTTTGTGACTTTTAAAATGAAGTTAATTCTGAGTTATTTCAGAATTTTCTATTTTCACCTTTAAAAAAAAAAAAGCCACATACTGTAGTAGTGCAATTCTTTAGTACAAACACCACGGAGTTGTTTTAATAGGTTATGTGACCTCCAAAAAACACTGAAAGACAAAAATGAACAAATTGGCTGGAGTTTTTGTGTAGCTAAAGTGGGAGATGACCATACTTTCATTCTCAAATGTAAAATCTAAATTCTTAGCATTCTGGTGCATGTAATCAAAATATGGTCATGACTTGCTTCTCAATTTGTAAGTCATTCTGAATTCTATAGCAAAATAGGGTGTGTGTGTACATTCATTAACACGTGAAAGGGAGCTTGGTGGGGAGGAGAAGAAGGAAGCTAAGGAAAAAAACAAACTGCTGGTAAATTTCCTAATTTCTTAGGCTATGCCCAACTCATGCATTTCCATGTTTTACTCATAATTTCTTGGTTTCTCAAAAATTTTCCCGTTTTCTTGGGGCTGTGGCACAAGGGTAGAAAGTGGACTTTAGAGTAAAAATACCTGATTTTAGGGTAGTAAAGGATGATGAGTAGGAACGTACTGTATTATTGGTAAGGAAGTTTCTTACAGCATTTCTAGTGCTTGCTGTGCAAATTGGATTTAAATTGCTAATGATAGTTGCGTGTTTTGAGGACTAGGGCTGGATTAGTAAATTTTAACTTGTGTTAAGATGCCATTATTTTGTTTTTACAACTTAATGGATATTTTTTGGTTTGTGCTGAGTAAGTTGGTCCGTTAATAAATTGTGCCCAAATTGCAGATTCTGGCTTCTGAATGTCAAGATCTTGAGGGTCTTTTAATATTTTTTGCTTCTTGTGTTTACTTTTGCGTTGTAGGCAAGGTAAATGGCACTTCTCTGCTCAGTATTTTTTCTGTGTGTATAATTAGGTAAAAAAAGTTAAATTTGGGTAGAATGCTTTTAAGAAAAAATTTTACATTGTTGGTCAAATTTGTTCTTTTAAAGTAGGACAGTAAAAAAGCCTTATTTTGTGACCCAGATTCTAGTAATTTTGTATGTGAAAAGGGGTCAACCTCAGAAAAATCAAAATTCTAAGTCAGCAGATAAAAAATACTGGATTAGCACAGAAAGTGTACTGAAAACAGTTTTAAACAACTTTAGCGCACACAAGTAGCAATCTAATACTGTATATCCAATTCTTTGTAATACTTTGGAAGTATTTACAAAACCAACAAATTTGAAGAAAAATATTTTATTTCAAATTTTTGTCATCTTAAGGTTAATTTTATAAAAAACCTTTCTTGGCCTAGGTAACTTTTTAAGGATTTATGGATGCCTTTGAGTAATAATTAGAGTTCAGAAATACAGAATTACAAAAAGTGGGCAGGAAGGGAGTTTTGGTACTCAGCAGGTAATTCTTTTTCTGGTATTGGGCTTTAAACCCCTGATAGAGCAGAAGTTTCAGATTCAGCTGAGCTTAACCTTAAACAAAACAAAACAAAACATATATGTATACACACACA